AGTAATCATGTCAGATCTGCAGTGTACACGACATAATGTTCGTTGATGGCCACAGCTGCAATCCTTCACACAATGCACACCCTATCACTTTCAGCCATGCTAGCCCATTTGCTCCATGGCAGCCAAGAGCTAATGTTGCCATTGCTTCTCTTTAACGCGAAGAACTGGCTCCTTGACAGTGAGTCTACACACCATATCACCAATGCCTTGCCAATCTCTTACTCCATCAACCGTATAATGGTGGAGATGACGTTCTCATCGATGACATTCACTACTAAGCATTTCACTTATGGGTTCAACATTCTTACCCTCACCAAACTAAAAACCTTGCCCTTTATATGTATTCCTGATATTTACAAGAACCTAGTTTCTGTATACCATCTTTGTAACACTAATCAACTCTCTGTTGAGTTCTTTTCTACTTACTTTCAGATGAAAAACTTCAGCATGATCGCTCTTCTTCTTCAGGGCAGAACCAATGATGAACTTTATGAATTGCTGATCCATGAGTCTCAACCCCAATCTTTGTTTTCTTAATCAAGCCTCAGAACAAGCTTCAAATCGTGGCACTTGCCTTTACCACCACCTTACAATCAATATTTTTTTTTTCTCATTACCTGTTGCTCATTCATCTTTAAAAGGATTTTTTATTCCAGATTGCCATAACAATAAAAGTCACATGTCTCTTTCCACAAAACCACAATCACCTCGACATGCCCACTCCAATACATCTTTACAGATCTTTGGACTTCATCTATTACTTCAAACGAAAACAACAAATATTACCTCATCTTTGTAGACTATTTCTCATGCTATACATGGCTATACCCACTCATTCACAAGTCACAAGTGAAAGCTGTCTTCATGGCATTCAAACCGCTGTTTGAAAACCATTTGCAGACCAAGATTACCACGCTCTACTTTGACAATGGGGGTGAATACATAGCTCTCCGTAGATACCTTATAGAACATGGGATCGCTCATCTCACAACACCTCCACGCACACCTGGGCACAGTGGCATCTCCGAACCCAAGGCCATCACGTTGTAGAGATTGGTGTTTCATTGCTCTCTACTGCAACTATAACAAAGAAGGATTGGCCATACGTGTTTACTGCAACTATATATCTGCTAAATCGAATTCACACACCTGGCTTATTCAATCAATCTCTATATATAAGCTATTTGATATTTAGCCCAAATATATAAAGCTTTGTGTCTTCAATTATCTATGCTTCCCATGGATCCGCCCCTACATTGGGCATAAGATGGAAGAGAGATCCAAACTTTGCATCTAACTTGGCTACACACTCAAGCATAGTGTGTATCTGTGTCTAGATCTCTCTACATCTCTTTATGGGAAGAATCTATACATCGTGTCATTTCCAATTCAACAAAGAAACTTTCTCGTTTTGCCTATTACAATCATTGGTTTGTGTTGAATCAGTGCAACAACACGGGTTTCCCTCATGATTTCAGCACCTTCTCCGCTATAATCGCTAAATGCTCAGGTATTGCCACTCTCAAACTCTAACACTTTCACTCACTCATCTCTCACAGCCAATCCCAAATCCTAAGTAACACATTTAACCTTAACCAACCGTCATCATCCAATGAAAGGCCCACTTATCAATCCCATATCCCAAATAACTCAACAAAATTACACAGCCTACCAACATCACCCAAAGGCCAACTCGCCCAAATAAAACAAACCCAACAACAACTCAACCTTGAACCACATCATTTAGCCCAAAATTATAATCATTTATTATCATTTATTATTAATTTAGTTCATCATAATCTAATTAGTAATTTATTATTAATATATATAATGATTTATTGCCACATAAATATAGCAAATACTATTAATTAATAATTATGTAATTATAAAAATCATTTAAATTAAGATATATTATTCTTTTTTCTATCAAAAATTATATGTTATGTATCTTGAAATGTTATAATCAGAGTATACAATATTAGTAATCCAATGAGGCATAAAATTACATCCAGAAATAAAAAAATCTATTTATCAGACCTTGTTTACCTAAACAATGAGCAGCTTTATTACATTTTCTCTTAACATAAGATACATTACATTGAAAAACTTATCTAACCAGGCTTAAAACATCTTATAATAAGTTAAAGCTCATAATGTCCTGATCGTTATTGTATAGTGGATTTACCAAAGTTTGGCAATCTCTTTCAAAACTAATGATCACAAAACCCATGTTCCAAACATTTTGAAGTGTCACTAATAGAGCTTTGCCTTCGGCTTCAAGCGAAGATGGTGTTGTTCCCAACTCTGCAGAACCCTGATACTTGCATCCTCCTAATGAATCACGAACAATCCAACCAACTGTGCCTCTATTTGTGTGAATGTTAAAACCGCATCATAGTTACATTTATACATTTCTACGTGAGTTCGTTTCCATGATTTTTTTTTGTATAGGAATATTCATCATCGGGTTGGTGGATGTAGTGGTTGATGTACAGGTTGATGAAATTCATTATTTTACCTCTCCCAAAGCTTTATTAAGATCCTTAACAATTTTTATTCAATGTTTTTTTAAATATAAGGTTATTCCTTGATTTCTATATTCTCCAAATAAATCCAGAAGGGCATAATTTTATTAGCATCTGAAAAGATCTTGTGTAATTTGGGTGTAATCAAATTAATTTTAGTTTATGTATCTAGTGAATGCATAGTTAAGAAATTAAATGGAGTTTTTGATAATCTTCAAGTTGCAGGGAAAACCGAGCTGGTAAAAAAAAGATAATGAATTGTTTTCAGTTCCAGGCCACATCTAATACATTTGGAATTAATTGTTATACCCATACTTCTTAACCGTGTAGTAATACCTAGAGCTTTCGATAGAATCTTCCATATGAAGAACTTAAGTTTCAGCATAATTTGTAGTTTCCAGATTTTATTTTTGATTAAAGGATCGCCATGAGGTATTGCCAGGGCAGTGTGAAGAATCTCAGGTTCATGCTTTAATAATCAGTAGCCTGACTTTATAGAATATTAGCCATTCTTAGTATAATTCCAAACTAGATAATCTTTGTTTGGCTTTTGGCTATAAATAAACTTTTAGCAAGATTATTGGTTTCATCAGGAAGAATGGTCGAGAGAGCATGTGAATCCCATTGTTGGTATGTATCATTGATGGTGATGAGATCCTTAACTAATATGTTGCTGTATTCATCTCCCCCCATGAGAAGGTCTAGGAGAATGAGTTAGGAGCAAGTTGTCTTGAAACACTCTTGTTTGTCGACCATCGGTAACAATAACTTGTGAGCCATTATTAATGAGGTTTATACTACAAATTTTAGAGGCCCATCTGTATGATTGGTATGGTCGAGTATTGGCATCATACAAATGATCATCTCTGTGATATCAATTTTTATAGATTTTGGAGAATAAACAGTTAGGTTCTTTTAGTAGAAGCTAGGCTTGGTTTGCAAGCAAAGCATCATTGAATTTTTTTAAATCCCTAAATTATAATCCTCCTTCTGTTTTAGAGTATTGAATTTTTTTCCAAGCAACCCACATAATATCTTTAGACTGGGAACTCTTTTCCCACCAAAACTGTGAAATGGTACCTGTAAGCTCGGAAGTTACTTGTTTCAGAAGTTTGAAACAAGACACGGAGTAGACTGGCATTCGCATGGTAACCATTTTGAGTAACAATTCTTTTGCGGCATGTGACAATAAATTGGCACTAAAAAAAGAGGTTCGTTGTTTGACTCGGTTAATGATGTTTATGAACATCTCTTTTTTCTTTCGTCCAAATTGCTCTGGGAGCCTTAAGTATTTACCACCTCCGTCGTGATTGGATATTCCTAGAATTGGTTTCAGTCGGTCTTGTTTTGCACTATGGATGCAAGAAGCGAAAGTAATCATAGACTTGGACTGATTAACGTTTTGTCCTAAATAATGTTCATAAAGTTTGAAGACATCCTTTATTGCAGAATAATTTGTTGCATTTGCTTAAGAAAAAAACAAAGAATCATCAGCAAGGTTTCCAGTATCCCAATCGCCGTGGTGACTAATGCCGCCAGAGTCTTTGATCGTAAGAACTCAGTTATTTGAATACCATGATTTAGTGATGGCATGGTAAAATTTAGTTTTTTGATCTCCATCTTTGAGTCTAACTTTGTATTATTCTTATAAATCATAATTTATTGAATTATTAATTGAGTAAATATTAAATTTGATACATTAACTTTGAATGTGCAAAAATTTATTTTAACTCATATTATATTATTTATAGAAATTACTTTACAATAAAATTTAAAATCCCTAATATCATCATTTCACCCAAAATAAGAATCATTTATTATTACCAAATACTAATCCAGTCCATCATGATGTAATTAAGAACTTATTACTAATTTAATTAACACGATTGATTGCTACATAAATATGGTAAATATTAGTAATTATTAATTATTTAATTACAAAAGTCATTTAAATTAAAAATATATTATTCCTAATAAATCATAATTGATTGAATATTGGTAGGAAAGATGCATCAATATTTACCCCATATATTGTTCACTCGATTACGTAAAAAATAATATGACATCTTTAAATATGGTATGTATACTTAAAGGATCAAATAATAGTTTTTAAAATTGTTGAATCACATATTTACCATTAGTCGTAAGTCCTGATTGTAAACTACCATATAATAAGTTGGTCACATATCAATTCATTGATCATTTCTCCTCAACGTTTTTTTTGCAAAGTTTTCAAATATTTACGGCTTATGGCCTCTTTTACCTTAGTTTCTGAAACATTTCAAATCTATGTTGAAAATTAAGGTGAACATCATGTGTCTATAGAAAAAATATTCCGCTGCTGTGGTCTCACCATTGATATGGTCTTAAACAATTCAAATGTTTGTGTGCTATCATTTTCATTTTATGTTTCAAGTTGTGATTCTATTACTTTAGTTTTGATTCTATTATTTTTCATTTTTATCTTTTTAACAGGATCACCAAAATCCATGCTACAGTGAATAAGGAGAATGTTAATGAATTTGACCCATTCTTCTCACAAAGTGGTTCGAGTATACTCATCGACTTCACTGTGAATCACTCATTGGGATCTCAGCAAACAACTAGCCACCCTTTACAAGATTACTTTCTTTTCAACCACCTGTGTACATAACTGTGATCAACTGTCCAATGAATTTAATGGTTTCAAGCCTGTTAATTACTAGGAAATTCTTGATGGTTCCTTGGATCCAAACTACTTGATTGGTAGATGCTATTGTTTAATTTTATTCAATAATTAAAAAGAGAAATTATTTTATATTTTGATTTTATTTATCTTATCTTACACATATTACGTATATCTTATTGGACAATTTGTTGAAGTCAGTCATGTTTAATTGTTTTTACAAATGGGAAAGATACACCCAAGTTAACTTCGAAAGTTTAAAATTCAAAATTTAAACCTAAAATATAGTCTAAATTTATTTTAAATCTTTAATTATCCATCTTTTTACTAAATAAATTAACTCTTAATACTCATGCTTAAAGTTGTGCTTTTCAGTTATGATCGTCGTCCGATTAGGTTATGGGGTTCGTTTGCAATGATAGTCAATGACATTATTTAGGCTCGAGGCCAACAAATCAACAATCACTGGTCATTGTACTGAGGTTTGCGAAGATAAAATTTTGGAAAGGTACAAAAATTCTATAACCAAATTTGAATTATATTCAACCATACTGTAATTAATCATTGTTGAACACCGAAGGTCATATATCTAATTTTGAAAAATCATCATCTTCTACTTAGCACATGGTATAAGTTTTTGTAACACACAAAAAAAAGTAATGAAAGATTAAGATAGCAAAAATAAATTTAATATTTCAGAGAATTATAGTGTACAGAAATAATTTAATCTAAAAGAAGAATTTACTAATCTAAAAAAGTATTTAAAAATATACCACCCATCAAATGGACTTGACTTAATATTGATTAAGTAAAAGATCAAATAAAGATATGATGCTTGAACCTAATCTTTTAAAATATTCTAGTTTCCTAAGTAAAATAAGGTAAATAATTTTGTTAATTATTTTATTTGACTTAGGAAACTAAAACATTTTAAGAGATTAGGTTCATGTATCATATCTCCATTTGATCTTTTACTTAATATATATTAACTCAAGTTTATGTGATGTGTGGTCTATTTTAAAATTCTATTTTTATATTACATTTATTTATATAATTAGAATTTTTATTTTCATTGTTGTTTTCTCATATGAACAGGTGGTCATGAGTTTCTTTGCATTAACAAAACTTTAGGGTTGGTCAAAATTTTTTTTTATTGTTGTGTTATTGATTAAGTTAATCTCATGTATAGGTAAATATGTAAACAACTAGATAATAATTATATGCAGGATTAAAATTCTACAAAATTAAACCTGATTTTAAAGTTATTTATAATAAATTAATTTAATTAATTTTATATGTATATAGTATATGTAAGTAACAATACACTTTGTTTATAAAACTTTGGAAATATGTTTTAAATATTATTATATGAATGTAATTATTTATTTAGTCTAACCCGCAAATACTGTGTTCATAAAAATATCAATATTTAAAGAAAATGAAAATATTACAAATTTTATTTGAAAATATTAAATATACATAGAATATATATAAAAATAGATTATATATCAATGTAATTTTACAAATTGTTTTAAATTACTTTTATATAAATATAATTACATATTAAGTTTGACATGCAAAAACTATGTTCGTTAGAATATCAACATTTAAGAGTCACAAATAATTATAAATTTTATTTTACCATATTAAATATAGAAGATATATAAAAATTTATTATATATTATTGATAAGTTATCTAAATTATATATAAGTAAGTCAATATTTATAACTCTTAACTTATTTATCCCATATATATTTTTATGATATAAAACAGAATTGATCAAATTATAGTATGATTTTAACAAGATAATATTTCATTTTTATATAGTTATTGTATTAGTTAAAATAAAATAAAATATTATAATAAATATTTTTTTTAATATTATAGTTTTTTTAACACATTTAGCTATTTTTAATATGTCGATTATTTGATACAATATTGTTATAACTTTTTTTATAGAGTTCAGATATTTATATTATTTGATTTATTTATTTTTTTTATTAAAAATTATATTAAATAAGTAAAGACTTATAAAGATTAATGTCTATTAAACCAAGCTTCTTGCTTTTACCAAAAACAAATTTGTCATTTTAATTATAATTTATGAACCACTTATACCCCTTCATTTCTATTGTGTGACTTTTAAAATATACTTATATTTATCATCATTTAGGTAATTTATACTTCTTTTTAAAAATTGAATTATATATATATATTTTTATTATATAAATGATGTGATGATTTTTTTTACAAGAACCATTTCATTAAAAGTAGGAGAAAAAATAAATTGTAAAAAAATAATTAATATGATGCTATTTTTGATTAAAAATTATAAAGAAAAGTATATCTTCAAAATAAAATGCTAAATTATATATACATAACTGACATAAACTATGGTATACTCAATTAATATGAATGGCATATGTTGTAACTATTCTAGTAACAAAAGTTTTTTAAATTTGGTTTTAAAAAAAAAACCTCTCTGGTGACGACACATCTGCGAAATGGTACACCGTAATTATTTACAAAAATAAGAATATTCTCTAAAAATACTTCTCAAATTAATATATAGGAGATTTATTATATATAATTTTTTTTAATCAGAAATAAATATTGAGTAGAAGATAATAATTTTAAAAATTAGATATATGCCGGTAACTTCATCGCCAAAATCTTAAAACTCTATTTTGTAATGTTATATGTACTAAATACTTTATTAATGACATAAATAACATTACAGAATGGAGTTTTAGGATCTCGGCAACAAAGTTACCGACATATATCCAATTTTGAAGAATCATCATCTTGTACTCAACGTAGGAAATAATTTCTTGTAACACACATGAAAAATAATGAAAAGTTAAGATAACACAAATTAGTTTAATATTGTATAGATTTATAGTGTAAAGAAAAAAATTAATTTAAAAGAAGAATTTTAAATATATACCCATCACATGAGCTTGACTTATTATAGATTAAGTAAAAAATCAAACAGAGATATGATACATGAACCTGATCTCTTAAAATATTCTAGTTTTAATTATTCTTATTTGACTTGAGAATCTAGAGCATTATAAGAGATTATGTTCATGCATTATATCTCTGTTTGATCTTTTACTTAATCTACACTAAGTCAAGTTCAAGTGATAGCTGCTATATTTCAAAATTCTTCTTTTACATTAGTTTTATTTATATGCTTTAAAATAGAATGTTCAATTTTTTTTTTTAACTAGTTGTCATGAGTATCTTTGCATTGTTGATTGAATTGTTGTTTTAATAATTGTGTTATTGATTAATTTAATCACATGTATTAGGCACATATTTAAACAACTAGGTAATAATATTAAAATTCTACAAACAATTTTACTAAACATGATTTAATAAATGTATATATATGTATATAATATATGTAAGTAACAATAAAATACTTGTGTTCATCATTGTTAATAAGACAAGTCCATTAAATATCTAATTCTACATCTGTTAATGTTAGTTTTCTTCACATTGGACAAGTTAGTTCAGAATTTTTTCAAGCATGTAAGCTTCTTGTCTTGACTATGCTTCTATTTTCTCTCCTTTTTGGATACTGTACTGATCACTGTAGTGGTTTGGACATGCTTCAACTTCATGCGGTTGCAGCTGATGAGACAGACACCAAGCTACTGCACCCATATGCATATGAGAACTAAAGAAAACTGTGAAGGTTTTTTGATATTGTGTTTAATGAGAATGCTCGAGTACTTCTTCATGATCAGACCATATCCCGGATTGTATATGTAATACTTATCTCTTGATACTTGTGGACACATGTGTGTCTATGGTCTCACATACTAATCTCTCTTTGCAAAATTTATATGCAGGCACCTGCTCAAAAAAATCTATCCTCATGAGATACATATTGTTTCTTTAATGTGAATACTATTATTGAGAGTTTTGAATTCTTATTAGGTCAAGTACAAACGAAACATAGCAGATATACTGTATAGAAGGAAGCAGAAGGAACCAAAACGTAGTCCAAATGATATTGACAATGCGAAAACAGCATCCAAATGAAATCTCGAGAAAGAGAAGAATATTGGGTTTTCACATAAGTCTTAACCAAAGACTTGTTATACTAGAGGACATACTTTATGTGATAAGAGTCTTTATTTAATTAGTAAATCTCTAATCTAATGTATGTACTCATATATATACTTGTATAGCTACTCTTTATAATATGTCTGGAGCCGACAGTTTTGGTGTAAGTGTTAGATTATATATATCATTATATGTAATGACAATGCTAAAATCGGTGATTTTCAATTCATTCATTCAAACAAATGTTTAATTTCCCTTCTAATTTTATGTCTCCTTCAGTTAAATCCTCTCAAAATTTTTTTCATCTATTATATTGTTTTGCTTCTTATTATTTCATTCTAAATGACTCTGCAAAATCTCTAATGAGATATTGTATAGAGCATAGTTATGGATGTTCTCTAAACGTTTTTCACTTACCATAATAATCTATTTTGGGCAGGTATGTATTTACAAGGTGAATGAAATGGTTGATGCAGTAGTGAGTAGCACAACATAGATAGGACAAAAGAAATAGGAAATCATAAAAGAGTGAGAAGAAGAAGATATCAGCAGCAACTGGTTTGAAGCTGAACCTGAAGATATCTTCTTATGACTTGGAATCAAAGCACCAAGTCAAATGCTTTGAAAAGCTTGACCACCGCTTGGACCAACACATTGCTGAGCATGTCCTCTTTCTCGTCCCCTTTTAGCTTGTTCAGACTGATATGTTTTCCTTCCTGGTCTCCTCTTTTTCGTACCCGTTAAAAGTCCACAAGGAAGCTGCAGATTTAGATACCGTGTGAGGACATATGAAGACAAAACACACATTTATACGGTTAATTCAAGAATATACAATAAAATTCAAAGAAAAATATTGTTCGCTTTTAAGATGAATTAAAATTTAGTAAACCATATGTTATATTTATACCAAAAACAAACCGTCAAATTTCACATAACATAAAAATATTTTATCGAAAAAAGCTGAACGTGAGAAGAAAAAAGTTTTCCGCCCTCAAGACAGATTAGAAACTATTTAAACCTTTTATACAACATAAACCATGTGGAATGAAAATCGAATTATCTTCACTGGGTGCCTATTAGGACACAGTCTTGTCATTCACTGAAAGAGTGAAAGCAAAGGTTAACTACAAGAAAATAGGTATTAATAGCACTTTAAGATAGCAGTTTATATATTTTTGCTATAGTTAATTTACAGCTAAACTATGTACTTACCTGCACTACCTTACGAGATATTTTTTTAACTTTTATATGTATTTTTAATATGATAAAATTATTTCTATAGTGTAAATAAGTATTATCTTTTTTTATCACCTTAAGTTATGTATTTACATTTTTTTATTTCGAATAAACATTATATATCTTTTTTCCAAAATAATAATTTACTATCAAATTTGCTTAACCAAATAAATATAAATCTATATTAGTGATCACCAGAGTTATACAAACAAAAAGAAATATTTTCTACTTACCCTGAAATATAATCACATAAAACTAAAATATGAAATATTTTATACCAATATCAATATGTTTAATGCACTATTATGTATGATTCCAAGAGATATCTCATAAAATTTAATCTAAGCTTATGTCAATTTTTTTTTTATCATGAATTTAAATTGCTTTAAATGAAACGGTGGTAATTTTCTTCTATCAATGAGTATTATAGCAAAAATGATTATAACATATAAAAAGAGATATTTTTTAATTTGGCTAACAAATCATTTCTTGATATAACATATGGAGAGTGAGACAATTTTTAAGGACTTTTTATTCATTTACTTTTGAGAATAAAATAATATATTTTAAGAACTTTCATACTAATGGTAAATCTAATCTACTTTCTCTACGAAATTGTCACTTGAACATCTTTTATAACTACACAAATCAAAATGCTATTTTTTTTACTAATTAATATAATTATTTTAAATTATAGAATTTATTCATTTATCAAATATTTATTATAAACATATGTTTCTAAAACAATCAAATTATAATCTATAATATTCACATCAAGACTATTGCTATTGTTATTGGAACTAAGTAGAAGATTTTGTGTACATTGCTGAAATATCATCTTAGTTCATGTTAATAAATTAAATTTTGGTTACTGTGAACATTCTATATATATATATATATATATGTCTGTGTTCCTAAACTACCTCTTATTTATTCTGAAAAACAATTAGTAAAAAATATTGTCAAAATTAGTTAAAATCTTACAGTTAATGGATACAAATGGACGTATTTATGCAAGTCTTTGAAACTACATTTATAATTGTTTTTGTAAATTATTAGTGTTTATTAAATCAAACTCTCTTTTTCACTTTGATCAAACATTTATTATAAATTATTAGTGTTTGCTAAATCAAACTTTCTTTCTCACTTTGATGGAACATTTTTATAAATTTATTTACGCTGATATTTTTCCATGGTTCATAGAACTGATGGCATATAAACAAAACTTTTAATCAATTTTGATAATTGCAAAACAATAATAAAATAAAAAGAATTCAATGGACCAAGATATATATATTTTTTTCATTGATGTATTAGTTGTGGCTACTAAAAATCTTTATCCGCCTCTCTTGTGGAGGATTTGGTTTAACTCCAAGTTTTCTTAATTAGTTCTTTAGACCTTGTGAAGCTAACACCAACTGCATCATTTCAAACTCTAACTTCATGGCTTTCTTGAAGTTATTTTTGCAACTGGGTTTTCTCACGTCTCCTGAATAACCCTTTTTATTCTTCAAAAGTCAAGTGTTCTTCATCACATTTCACCATTTGTGAAGTTTCTCCTCCTCTTTCTTCTTCAAATGCCATGTCTTTTGACATCTTTTTAGCCTTTGTGTTTCATTGGGTGACTTTCGATTCACCATTATACAAAGATAAAAAATTTATTTATTTTGCTTTGTTGTCGGTCCAACCAATATGGTGGTCCAAATTAAAACAAAAATTATATTTTTAATATATATATTTAGACAATAATAATTTAAAAACATAAGTTTGTCAATTAATTTATATATATTTTGTATATTTAATCCAAAAACTTTTATATTTGACTTTTTTTACAATATTTGTGGCCTAATAAATATAATTTTCATAAAAATGTTTTCCTTAGAACCATCACCTCGACATTAACCTTGGTCTGTTCGAGTTAAACTATCACCTCAGTGTTCTCTAATCGTGGTATGTTTGGTTTCTTCTTTAGTCACCACCATAGCTTTCTCTAGCTGTAGTATGTTTGATTCCTTGAAATTTTTTTCCTTTTTCTTTCATGAGTACCCCTGCTCTGTTTCTCCGTGAGTTTCCCGACATTGATTGAAATCCATCTAGTGGTATGTTCACATTATCTGCTATCTCTTTGGTGAAGTGTTTGTTGGTAAAGAGTGAGTGGTGATAGCCATGATTGGGGCAAATGCAATTGAGGTATTTCAAAGAAGCCTAGGGAATATTTATGGGAATTTAGACAAAAAGAAGTAAAATCTTGAAGAATATTTATGGGAATTTAAACAAAAAGAAGTAAAATCTTGAATAAAATTTTGTTTTTCCTTTCAAGTGCCTCTGATGTTTTCTTTCTCTCCGACATGAAGCCCTGAAATAACTAACATTGCAACTTTTACTACCAAGTTTCTCTTATCACCATATTTTACCATTGCCTTTTCGCAAAAGCTAGTTACATTTGAACTTCTAATACTATTATACGACATAAATTTTTAAAAAATAATCAAGAGTAAATTTGTCTAGAGTTTTTACAATCGTTTGTAAAGTGTAAATTCAGAATAAAAAATACACAAAATTATAAGTTTAATAGTTGTGGTTTTTCAGTTGATAGAACCATCAATAATTTTTCAATCACATACACTTTCATTTTCTCTTCCTGATTTTGTTATACAAATTATATATATATATATATATATTTTGAAATGTCAAGAAAAAAATCGTTACATGAACCTACAAATTTTACTCATTAAACTCATATTAAATAATTTTTATCTAAAGTCATATTGAAGAATTAGGTTCAAATTATTGTGGTCGAACACCAAAATCGATGTTGGCACCCACAAACATCACTTTTAAATGTTTAATAAAATCTATAAATATTGTATGAGTTTAGTTTTTAGATTTTATTAAACTAATGATCTAAGATACAACTATTTAGATTTTAACAAATTTAATTAAAAATTCACTTGTGATAAATAAATAATATAGTGCACTGTTGGCACACACAACCCATGTTAGTTATTATGCAAATTATTTGGGCTTCTTAATGGGTTTGGGAAAAGAAAAAAAAAGATTAGCATTTCATTTCAATATTAATATGATGTGTATTATTATTTTGTTCTGATAGGTTGTTTTATTGTGATTAGATGTAAGCTTCTCAAAGATTGAAAAAACTGATATGTCATCTTCTGGAGAGATATTTGTGTTATTATATTATTGATTTTACATAACATTTTTATAATAATAAATGCTATCATTTGTTTCATGGCAAAAAATAATGTACTTATGTTTAATTTTTAGTTTTTGTACTGCTTTATAATAACACACTAGGCAATAACCCGCACTTTGTACGGAGTAAAATATTTATTATTTAATTAATATAATATAACATAATATATTCACAT